AGTGGTCGACTATCATGCTAAGTATTTTGCCTGCCAACAGTGGTTGGGAGACAAAAGAAAGATGCATTCAGTTACCTTGTGGATAGGGTCCGAAAGAAAGTGAAGGTTTGGAAGAGAAAACAATTGTCTTATGGAGGGAAAAAGGTATTAATAAAGGCGGTGGATCAGAAACAGATGCCTTATGCAATGCGGGTATTCCTAGTACATCAGTCAGTAATTCAGGAAATTCAAAGCTTGTTATATAAGTTTTGGTGGGGTCAGCAAAAGTTGGAATGCAAAATTTATTGGATTAATTGGAACTAATTGTGTCAGTAAAAAAAGAAGAATGGTGGAATGGGGTTCAGGAACATGAATTTAACCTTGCTCTCCTTAGAAAACTAATATGAAAACTCATTCAGTAATTCTAATTCACTAGGGGCGAGTGTTCTTAAGGCTAAATACTATCATAGTCGTGACATTATGGAGGCAGAGGTAGGCTACAATCCTAGCTATGTGCGAAGGAGTATCCTGGATGCCAAAGGACTTCTGCAGGAGGGAGGAAGATGGAGAACATGCGATGGCAACAAGGTTGATATATGACTTGATAATGGGTGCCAACAACTAATTCCAAAGTTGCTACACCCATTTCTCAGTTTTCTCAAACTGCCTCAATGAGTGAATTGTATGTTGCGACAAGGCCTTGTAAGCAAGTTATTCTACAAGCTCATTTCCAACCTTAGGATCGTCAATGAATCATGAAGGTACCAATTCCTAGACAACCTACTGAAGACCAACGATTATGGTGCTATGAGAAAACAGGGAGGTACACTGTTAAATTAGAGTAGAGAGGATAGAGAGTTGGGAGAAGTGTACATACCAATTAACTTGGAGCAATTCTGGACATTACAAATTCCCCCAAAGTGAAGGTCTTCGTATGGAAATGGATACGCTACATGTTGTCAATTGGGACGAACATATTGGAAAAAATTAAGAAATGGTGTCAGAAGGAAACACATCATGACGCATGCCTCTTAGTTTGCTTTTTGATAAAGGGAAAGATCTTACATGCGAGGATTGGATGCCACTGTTGCTGGAGGCGGAGGGAGAAGAGCATATCAGTCCATTTATGGTAGCTTTATGATTTAGTTGGGAAGAACTCAACAACCAATTATGGAATACGAAGAAATTGGAATAATTTGAAATCATGAGTAAAGCTGAAAGATGGTTGATAGAATACCTGGTGTTCTAACTCTCACGATCGATGATCTCAAGCAAGCTAGAGTATCGTTGGGCACCACCAACGGCTATGGAATACAAGTAAAATGTGGATGCTACTTGTTTTGATGGTGAAGGGATGATCTTTGGGAGTGGTTATTAGCAACAAGTCTAAGAATTTTTGCATGAAAATAATCCAAAGATTCTAAGTCTTTGGATTATTGAAGAATTTTTTAAAAATGTTTATTGTTTGGTAAGTATGATTGTTAACATTCCATGAAAATAAATATTTTAATTTTATATTAAATGACATGTTTATGCTTAATATAAAAAATTAGAAGGGTTCGAGAAATATTAATAATTTATTGATACGATATATTTAATTGGACAAATAAAAAGGAAGAGATAAAGTAAAAGAAAACAATATCACGAATCAAGATATATAATCTCTATGATTATGAGAGATTTGATATCCATAGATTTTAGAAATTTGAAATATCTATAGCTAAATCGACAATACAAAAAGTAGCAAAAATACATTACTTCCTACAAATCTACAAATGCGGTGAATCCATGATCGAAATCATTTTTTCCTAATGACCCATTATTTTTAGATTTGGCAATCGAATTGGGTTGTGTAATTTTGGATTGGGAATCTCGGGTTACGGATTGTCACAGATAGGGTCATGTTGAGTTAGCTGATTTCAGGTTAAATATTGACCCAACCCATTGTGTTTCGTGTCAATTCCGGTTATGAGCGTTCTCAGTTGCAATAATAAACATGTTTCATAATTTTTTTAAAGACACAATATGCCAATAGGTTACATTGCGAATGTCAATTAAAAAATTCTCAAATCTTTCCATGCTAATGAAAAGAAAAAATAATTGCACAAATCATCAAAAAACAATCACGAAAGTAATACTACTACAAAAAACAAAATTATGTTTGATTATCCTTACAATTCAAACTTGTCTTTTTAATCTTTATGTATCTTTTTACACATCTCACCAATTTATAAGTGAGTATATAATTTTGAGAGTGACATATGAATTGAAACATATCCAATAGATCGACCCGCTAAGCTAACCCGACCTAAAAAACTACAGGTTAATAGAGTTCGGGTGTCCATATTATAAAAATTTCAACCCATTTTTATTTTCGGGCTGGCTCAACTCAACAAGTAGGATCTTCATTTGTCTCGGTTCCAATTTTTTTTTGTGTAGCTTTCGAACCCCTTTCGAGAGGATTACGTTATTGAGTCGGTGTGGAAGTGAGCAGATCTCGCCTTTGATCCGGGCATTGTGAGTTCTCCCGATCATGACGACGAAGCGAGTTAAGGTTGCCCTAATGGAAGGGTAGCGCTGAACTGGATTGCCGTTGAAAGAATAAGCGATGTGATCTTCTCCGCTAAAGAAGAAGAATTATCTTTCGACTATAGGATTTTCCTACTAGAAGTAAGTGTAGCGAAAGAACTTCCGGATTCTCGCTTTGCTAATCGCTTCGCCTTATGCTTTTTAGCTCGCTAAATCGCTTGTTCGCTGGATGCGCTAACACTCCTTTTTTCCCGGAGGAAAATATCGAGTATTGGATCGGGAGTAATCACTAGTGATAGGGCAAAAATAGGGGGGAAGGACAAAGGAAAGAGCGATGCCTACATTAAATCAATTGATTCGTCGTGGTAGAGAAGAAAAACGGCGCACGGACTGTACTCGAGCTTTGGATCAATGTCCCCAGAAGCAAGGAGTATGCCCGCGTGTTTCAACGAGAACACCGAAAAAACCGAATTCAGCTCCACGATCAAGGAGAACAATAGTACGAAGGGGACATAAGCCCGACGTTATCTATTAGTAGGAGAGCAAGAAGAAGAAAAGAGGCGTTGGTTGTTGGATCCATATCCTTTACTCGTACAAGAGCGGTCTTTCATTCCTCGCTGGGGGACTCTTTCGTGCTTCCTTTTTTCTTTGTTTATTATCCAATTTTTCTGGGTTCACTTTTTTCTTAAACTCTTGGACAGTTCCAATTATTTTAAACTCTTGTAATATTTCTCTTTAATGCTAAAATATAAAGGAAAAAAAATAGCAGGTGAGAGTGGCGTGGGCAAGGTTGTCAACCCGCGGGTCGACTCACGGGTTGACCCACTTTGACCCTGATCCGATGAGAAAAACGGGTTGTACGCACCCGCCGGACCGACCGCTATAAGGTATCGAGTTGGAGGTCAAATTATGTCATTTTTTTTCTTTAGTTTCCGAAATGCGTCTATTTTCCGATTTTTCTTTTCGCCTAACTCAATCTTTGGAATCCTTAGTTGAACATTTGAGTATTGATGTTATATAAGCGTGTGTGAATTTTCACTATATGTTGGATCTAAGTACGACATGTTACTCTGGTGATATAAGCGTGTGTGAATTTTCATCTTTTTTTCTTTCTGTTGATCTTTTCCCCTGCTTCTTTTTTTGTCCCGTTTCCCTCTCTGTCGTTGGTTGTTGTTTTCCTTCCTGTTGCTCTTGGTCATTTTCCTTCCTTGCATTGTGGTTTTTTCCTCTCTTTCGTCGCCTTTTCCACCCTAGCGGTGATGTTTTTCCAGTCTCCTTGTGAGACGCTTTTGTTCCCCACCTGACTGGTTTCCAGATCTGTGTGGATGCTTCCTTGGTAGGTGGTTTAGGGGGCCGATTTGTCGGTTCGTCTGCTCCTTCCTGGTCTACCATCTACCTCCACATTATTCATCCATAAATGGGGATGAATAGGAGATGCATGGACCATTTGTTGTCTTGGATGTCATTTCAGGAAGCTTGTGGACAGGGAAATCTTCTTCGGAGTTGGTGCTCGGTCGATTTGCTCTGATCGGAGGTGAATCGGTCGCCTCTTATCTGTCTGTGGTCGGGATTGCTTCTCGGGTTTGCTTGTTTTTTTAGGTGGAGCTCGGAGCCGGTTCTGGGTACGGTTCTCCCCGGTGATTTTGTTGCTTTATGCTTCTTGCGGGCGCATCGTCCTTCAATTGGAGTCGCTGGTGGTTAGAGATGTGTCTCTGCTTCTTCCGTTGTCTCCCCGGCGAAGGACCTGTGTGGGCAGAGTGGTTGAAGGCGGCGATGGATCGGAGATGGAGAATGCAGTTGGCGGCCAACTTCTTGTAGATTGGGCCGCTGGGTTAGGGTTACCTAGGGTGGGTTGTCCAAAGTGTTTGGATCGGGGTTGGGCTTTTTGCTTCGGGCCTTTGTCTGCCCACTCTTTGGTCTCTTTAGTTCAGTTGGTGTTCCTTCCTTTCAGCGTTATTATAACTCTGTACACCGTGTTTCGTATTAATGAAACAACCAGCAACCGTTCAAAAAAAAAAAAGTTACTCTGGTGTAATGTTATATGTTATTACTCATATGTTAGATGACATTTGATATAATTTATCAAGTAAAGTACAATATAATGACTCTTTTCATATTTTCGGGCTTAAACGGGCTAAACCGGGTGACCCATTAACCCTTGACCCACTAGCTCGACCGGGTCCGGGTCAACCCACGGGTTGACAACCTTGGGCGTGGGCTTTCTAGAACCCGAATATACTGTCAGCCCACCACCACAACCCGCCCTCTCTCATTCTCCGATCTGGCGGGTTCGAATCACGCGCCAACTCAGGCGAGTGGGTCATTCCTTCTCCCCGAAAAAACTCCAGTGGCAGTACCTCCTCCCACCAAAACCACCCCCAGCTCCCCTCCTTGTATTCCCAATTCCACCAAAAAGTCCAAATCACGCCACCGATTACTCGTGATTTCCTCCTCTCATCAAGCCGCCGGGGAAAAAAAAAACTCCCCTCGCCATGCCCGCAGAGCACGACGATGCAGTGTTCGACCACGACCTCGACGACGACGACGAGTCCTCTCAGTCTCAGGACGAAGACGATGATCTCGAGAACGACGGCGTCCTTGTCGTTGAAGAAGACGAGGAAGATCTCAATTCCGTCCCTTCCCCTTCCACCCCTTCCCCCGCCACGGCCTCCTCCCTTCCAATCGCTGTCCCCTCCGCCTCCATCGTCACCCTCGCCGCCGCTCCCAACGGCTCCGTCGATCCGCACAAACTCCTCCCCTCGGCCGCCGTCCTCCCGGAGGAGGCAAAGCGTCAGAGGCTGACTCTCGTCCCGGTGTTCGAAGAGCAGCGGAAGCCGACTCCTCAGCCGCTCGACAAATCGCGGCAGCTGTTCCAGCGATTGTGGACCGACGAGGACGAGATCGAGCTGTTGCAAGGTTTCTTCGAGTACACGAACCAGCGTGGTGGTGGGAGCCACCACGACACGGCGCTGTTCTACGACCAAATCAAGTCCAAGCTCCAGCTGGATTTCAACAAGAATCAGCTGGTCGAGAAGCTGCGGAGGTTGAAGAAGAAGTACCGAAACGTCCTCAACAAGATCGGTTCGGGCAAAGAGTTCTCCTTCAAGACGGCTCACGATCAGATTACGTTCGAGATCTCGCGTAAGATCTGGAGCAGTACGGGAAAGCTCGCCAGCCTCGAGGATGGGAATTTGGACGATGATGAAGGAAACCCTAATCTCAACAATAACAACGATGGCGGTGGTGGTGGTGGTGAGGATCAAAAGTCCACGCCTCGCCCGCGGAAACGCTCCCGATCTCGTTCCTTAGCCGCTCCTCTCACTCTCGCCAGCTGCAGTGGCGGGGGCAACAGCATCGTCGCCGCTGTGGCAGCCACCGGAGGCGGCAACGTTGGGGGTAAAGTGGATGATAAGCGTGGAGTGGTTAACGATGGGGTTGTTTCCAATAACAACCACGTGAACAGCAATGCTTATAGTAATGTGAATGTCCCTAGTTTGATTGAGGAGACTGTGAAGAGTTGTTTGTCGCCATTGTTTAAGGAGTTGTTGAGTAATGCTACGTCGGGACCGGGTTGTTCCTCTGGTGGGATTGGTGGTAGAGGAGGAATTGGGGGTTTGGCCATGAATGCGATGCCATTGAGCTTCGGGGGAGTGGAGATGATGGCTGATGAGAAGTGGAGGAAGCAGCAGATATTGGAGCTCGAGGTTTACTCGAAGCGATTGGAGTTGGTTCAAGACCAGATTAGATCACAGTTGGAGGAGTTGCGCTCAGTGGGTAGGTAATCAGCTGACGAATTTGGAGTAAGTTTGCAGTACCAAAAGAGTTGCCTTTTAGCTATTGGGGGTGTATGAATGACTATGTAGGGGAAGGAGTAAAAAAGCATCGGCATTTTTTTCTCTCAGAACCTTTTTTTTTTTATGTGTTTGGGTTATATTATTAGTTATCTGGTCTCTTTTTTCTTGGGTTTTATTTGACAGAACCAGATGTTGAATAACTAGTCTCTAATTGATCTTAGTGTGTAGAGCTCATAGTCTCTGTTCTACATTGTAGATAATCACTTGATGCATAGATTGGTAATCACTAATAAAGACACAGAGTTGTTAACTTAATTACATCAGTTTGTACGCTCATTTGCTTCCTTTCCCTCTGCTGTAATCTTGTGATCAGCTCTACTCTCATTTGTAATTTTGCTTATCATTGTAGTTTGTGTAGTGTTGTACAGACTAAATGATTGATAATCTACCTCCTGTGGGATTGAATGTTGACATTTGGAGTTGCATCCTGATTTCATTTGGTTTTCTTTCTGCGCGTCTTCGATGTTCATTTCTAAGTTGCAATTCAGCTTGCCATTAGAAGGGTAGAATCTAGCGTTTTTTGTGTCGTCTCCTTTTGTGCAGGAGAAATTTCTTTCTGGTGTTGTGATCGAAAGCGAGCTGCTTGTATGTGATTCACTATAGAAACTGTTCCATGTTGGATGCTTCCCGAGTATGTCTTCTCTAGTAATGCTGTTATTATGATTTTCTTTTTACCCTGAGGTTTAACAGGTCTAAAAGTGCCAGTACTGCCTTGGAAAGCTCCTTTGATCTCGCGTCAGGTGGTGTTGAACTGTTTTATTGAGACTGGGTTTTCCTTTGGTATGCGCAGCTAGTTGGAAATGGAACCAGCAAAGTGTACGAGGAACCCTTTTTTCTCCGCTCTTTACAAGTTTTGACCCGTCTTTTCCTTGCCTTTTAAATTTTAATGCTTTGTTCTTTTTACTTTCCTCACTATTTTGTGTTTGCATGGATTGTCTGTTCGTTGAATCTCCTCACCTGCCATTTCCCAAGTACAAAGTTCAGTGTGATGACAATTACCACAACTTTTTTTCTTCTTTCTGCAGATCTTGTTCCATTCGTGAAGGATTTCTTCAACCGTTATTGATGTGTCCTTGAACAAATTCCAGTATGAATCTATGGTCGTTGCAGCATCTTAATTTACACTTGTATTCGCCATGAAAATTTGGATTGATCCAATTGAAACTGAGGTACGAAGAAAAGAATTTTCCAAGAAGGTATTTGGTTGGGAACTTGTGATGTTGAAGCTATAAGCATAAGACCATCTCCAAAAGTTGCCCTCCAAAAGTTGCCCTCCAATTATAAGACTAAAGTTCCAAAATGTTGGAATTTGAGAATTTTTTTCCATAAATATCACTATTAAAAAAAATTCAAAAATACCATTAAACCCGAAATAATTCCAGAAAATATTATCTGAGTCTGAATCTGGGCCTGAATCATGAGCACCTTCAAGAGGGACGAAGTTGTCTGCACTGACATCGCCTTCCTCTTCTTCATCATCAGGGTCACTAACTAGACCTGGCAGTGCATCTTCCATCTGATCCAGATCATGAACGACGCCTTCATCAACTCCGTAATGGGAGTTGTGATAACTACCGCTGCCTTCATGGAAGTTGTACTCGGGTTGGTACTGATAACCTTCTTGTTGGTTGTCATGGTACCGTTGGGCTTCTTCTTCATATGATGGGAATGATTGATGATGACCTCTACCTCCTTCTTGCTACTCATGGTAGGAATGAGGATCATGGTAATCTTGGTAGGGATGATCTTCATATAATCCACCTCCACCGTGGATGCCAGATGTTTGGCCATCTCCAGAATGACCTCCACCGCCTTCAACCGCCTCGGTGTAAACAAAAATCACTGCTTTGGAAATGTGATTGGTGATAAAAATTTGACCATGGCATCTACTTACTCCTGAGTGGTTATGAGGAATTCCTCATGCCACAACGACCCGCCTTGTGTGTTTGGATATCGATACACCATACGATCAATTCTCCTCGTGCCTTCCATTCAAGTAACCACAATACACATTTGACGGAGCTCTTCAAGGTTCGGTCTCGTAGCGATCTTCACTTTATGAAAATTACCACTGACGTAACGTACCCTCTTTCCTGTCTCTTTCGTATCACCATTCCACCGTAACCCGAGCGTGAACTGTTGAAATGTCATATGCAATAAAATAGTAACCAGATTCATACCATAAAATTTTTCAGCGTTAATCGCAAAACAAACTTACAATAAAAAGTAGGCAAAATACACCCCCATAGCCACAACTATTCACTTTGTGCCAACAATAGCCAAATTTTAAGAAATACAGAGAAATAGCCACTTTTTTGAAACTTTTGTGCACAATATAGCCATTTCTGTTAAATTATTTAACGCATTCAACTCTCCGTCAGTTTAGTGGACGATATGCTTACGTGGTCGCCACATGTCCGACACCTATTTTCCACATAGACGAACTATTTCCACCTAATTAACACGTCATTATCTAAAATAGAAAAACCTTATCCTATAAAATCCCTAACCTCCCCTGCTGCTATTCACGATTTCTAATTTCCCCTCTTCTTCGCTAGGTTTCCGACTCGGTCGCTCTGCCGCCGAGCCTTGTTTTCTCTCCGGTCCAGCTCGACCTCTTTCCCCCGACGACGCCCCTCTCCCTCGACCTTTCTCCCCCGATGTCACCCCTTTCCCCCGACGTCTCTCCCCAGTTGACGCCGCACTTCCTCGACCTTTCTCCCCCGACTTCTCTCCCCAGACGTTTCTCTTCCCCTCGACGCCCCTCCCTTTCGACAACAATTGCAATCATGTCACAAAGGATTGGGAGTGGCAAATCGGTCAAGGTGGGTGATTCGGGTTCAACAAGCGTGAACAATTCAGGGCTCATCCGGTGCTTGCATAAAAAATCTTGAGTCGTTCAAACCTCCGGAACTGATATGAATCCAGGCCGGAAATTCTATGGCTGTCCTTATTGGAAGGTAACAGAAACATAATTTTGGATGACTCATTTGGTTCGAAGCATACGTATGATGATTACAGATGGTTTGACGATGCAGGATACGAAGAAGAACTGCGATTATTTTAGGTGGGTGGGAACTAATGGTGATGAATCTGGAGGCAGGACACTGAAGTGGAGGCTACAATTCTTAAGCTGGAAGAATGTATGAAGCGAGCACAGTGCAAGGCCGAGAGGAGGAAGAAGGGAAAACAACTGGTGGCTGAAGAACTGATGAATGTAATGGCGGTTCATGATGCTATGTTAACTGAGACTAGGAGCATCAAATCTGATGTTAAGCTGAATCGATATATGTTGACCATTTTATTGATCGTGAATGTAATGGTGCTTGTAGTCATCTGTAGTATGGAGTAGTAGTAGTAAGGTATTTTAGGTTGTAATGTGTAACACTCGCAGTCATTGTTGTCAGAACCGAAGCGGAGCATGACCCGATAATGCGAATGGCTCGCACTTTAGTGGTCCAACCGGCATTAGACCGTTTAAAAACCGTTAAAGAACCTGTACCTAATAAACGTCATCAGTATAAATAGTGGACATTTCTTAATCAGAGCTCATCTCTTTCATTCGAAATTGTGAAATGGAAATAATGATTCAGTTTAAGAGGCCGACGTTTTTGGTTTATTTCAATTTTCAATTTTCTCCAATTTTTTTAATTAAATTTAGTGGCTGAGTGGCAAAAACCGGACGAGCGGCTCGACCGGCTCGAACGGTTAACTGCCTCGGCCGCTCGCCAACCGCTACATAAAACCGGAGCGGCTTTTAGACTGTTCCGAGCCGGTTTTGTGACCGGGTGGCGGTTTTATCGGTCGGGCCGAGCGGCTCGGCTCGACTTTAATGACACTACTCGCAGTTGTAAGCAAAGGAATGAAAGACTTTGAATGCAAGATCAATAGTATCATCATTTAGCATTCCTTGAAACCAACATTGATCAAGTAGTACATGTTCCTGATTACACCTAATTTTGACAGAATGCAAACTTCTTCAAACTAACATTGAACCTAAAGAGCATGTTTTTGATTACACCTAAAGAACAGAATGCAAACTTCAATTGTCAGAAGCATACTACCAAGTGAGTACATGTCTTGAGGATGTTCCTGATTCCACCTAAATAACCGATTGTAGAGGGGGTCCTGATTATACCTAAATAACCGAGAAGGAGAGGGGGTTACAATCCACTCTCTCACACCATTACACGAGCCATCCAAAATACACCCCAAATACCATTACACAAAAATATGGCTCATGTAACATAATTGTCGTCTAAGGCTGAGATGGTGGGGGCTGACTTCCTCACAGCTCCACCACATTTGCTTCAACAGCTCTAGGTTATTGAGATGGACCCGCTCCAACAACTATACCACGTGCTCCATTAAGCTGAAATAACAGGTCGAAGGCAATTAAATTGTCGAACGTTGAAAAGGAATACTATAAGTGGTTACAAGTAGAGGTATTAAGATCTTATACTAACCCGTACATACTGGTTGCCAGTTCTCTCATTCACGTAAACACACACCCCAGCCGTTGCAACACGCGACTCCCTTTCTATTGTCCTTATATCAGCAACATTCAGTCTCACATCCTACAGGCATTAATCTAGTGTTCAATATATTGGGCAAAACTCTGCATCCATAGGATTAAGTTCAATTACCTGTATCCCATTTGCTCTATTCAGAGGACAAGTCCTCGCATTGTGGGTAGGCGAGCCACATTTTGAACAATGAGATCCTCTCTTTGGCCCTTGACCGTTGCCAGCATCTTGTGGTGCAACTCGTTTTCCTCTGGCTCTTCAAACATTTGAGCAAACATGTCACAAATTTAAGTTAACAAATAGACAATGCATTCTCAATCTCACCACTGGTTGTGCAGCAACGGGCTCTCTCAACCATGATTGGGCAGCAACGAGTTCTTCGCATGACCTTGCAATGTGGAC